ATTACATTGTCGTGGTGGCCCGTAGCATCCACCTTTGTGGGGTTGTCGCATATTATACAGAATAAGTTTTGACAACCATCTTGGGTAAATTTCACAAGCTGATGGTTAGCCCTTAGCATCCACCTTTTTTGGGCTGTCACAGATTACAGAAGTGCATGCTTTGACAATGCGTAAATTTCAGAAGCTGATGTTGTCGCATCGATGTGTGTGGATGTGTGCTGATCTACATCCACATGCATATTAACAACACTTAAAATGAACTCGGAACCAAAAAAACTCACGGACTCAGAAAAGACACAGTAGGATGGACCCATGGCTGCGGACAAACGCGAAAATGATGACGACACTGTGTCAGAGAAAGCATCGGGATCAGTTTGGGCGGGTGTTTGTGTGTGGGTGTCGCATATGCGCTAATATGGGTTGTGCTAAGTGAAATACATGCAGCGACAGTCTTGACACCTTTTTGACCTGATTCCGCAATGTCGTGGGGTGCACTGGCTGTCGTTCTGCGTGGCAGGCGCACCACTTTGAGAGCGTGACTGCTCTATCCTGCACACCTGCCATGCAACGCACATGCAACACACATGCAACACGACATGCAACATGAGCTTTTTACCTGTAAATTTACAGTCAACGTGCAAGATTTGACGTTTGCAGCCCCAACTCCGGTCTTAGAATGGAAAGTGTAGATTTTTGCCCCCGCGGCCACTTTGCTTGGAAATTTACAGAGAAAATGCTCGTGTTGCATGTGTGTTGCATGTGTGTTGCATGTGTGTTGCATGTGTGTTGCATGTGTGTTGCATGTGTGTTGCATGTGTGTTGCATGTGCGTTGCATGTGTGTTGCATGTGCGTTGCATTGGCAGCCGTGAAGTGGGGAAGTAGAAAACAGCGTGGCAGGCGCAAGAGTTGTAGGTGGCAGGTGCGAGACTTTGGAAGCTGAGCGCCTTGGATATTACATTGTCGTGGTGGCCCGTAGCATCCACCTTTGTGGGGTTGTCGCATATTTATACAGAATAAGTTTTGACAACCGTCTTGGGTAAATTTCACTAGCTGATGGTTAGCCCTTAGCATCCACCTTTATTGGGCTGTCACAGATTACAGAAGCGCATGCTTTGACAATGCGTAAATTTCAGAAGCTGATGTTGTCGCATCGATGTGTGTGGATGCGTGCTGATCTTCATCCACATGCATATTAACAACAGTTAAAATGAACTCGGAACCAAAAAAAACTCACCGGACTCAGAAAAGACACAGTAGGATGGACCCATGGCTGCAGACAAACGCGAGAATGATGACGACACTGTGTCAGAGAAAGCATCGGGATCAGTTTGGGCGGGTGTTTGTGCGTGGGTGTGTCTGTTTGCTTGCGCGGGCGCATATGTGCTAATATGGGTTGTGCTAAGTGAAATACATGCAGCGACAGTCTTGACACCTTTTTGACCTGATTCCGCAATGTCGTGGGGTGCACTGGCTGCCGTTCTGCGTGGCAGGCGCACCACTTTGAGAGCGTGACTGCTCTATCCTGCACACCTGCCATGCAACGCACATGCAACACACATGCAACACACATGCAACACGACATGCAACATGAGCTTTTTCCCTGTAAATTTCAACGTGCAAGATTTGACGTTTGCAGCCCCAACCCCGGTCTTAGAATGGAAAGTGTGGATTTTTGCCCCCGCGGCCACTTTGCTTGGAAATTTACAGGGAAAATGCTCGTGTTGCATGTGTGTTGCATGTGTGTTGCATGAGTGTTGCATGTGTGTTGCATGTGTGTTGCACGTGCGTTGCATTGGCAGCCGTGAAGTGGGGAAGTAGAAAACAGCGTGGCAGGCGCAAGAGGCGTTTTTTTGGTTGGTAAAATTGGAGATTTGGGGAATATCGAGGTTTACATCCAGTCATGGGGGTACTCCAATAGCTGGATGGTGTGCGTAATGATCCTTTAAGAAATCATCTATTTGGGGGGACCCCGAATTTAGGAAACCTCCATATGTGGTTAGGCCATGAATTGGGGGCGCATCCCAATTAGTATGTGATGAACAAATATGAATCATCATGAAAGGTCCATCCAGTCCATCAGTCCCCGTTTGGGTCCTTCGCCCTGGCGGAAAGTGATCAATTCATCCGTTGATGGTTTCAATGGACTGAAGGCTTCGAAGTTGGATGAGGAATTGCAGGTGGCAGGGGCGAGACTTTGGAAGCTGAGCGCCTTGGATATTACATTGTCGTGGTGGCCCGTAGCATCCACCTTTGTGGGGTTGTCGCATATTATACAGAATAAGTTTTGACAACCATCTTGGGTAAATTTCACAAGCTGATGGTTAGCCCTTAGCATCCACCTTTTTGGGCTGTCACAGATTACAGAAGTGCATGCTTTGACAATGCGTAAATTTCAGAAGCTGATGTTGTCGCATCGATGTGTGTGGATGTGTGCTGATCTACATCCACATGCATATTAACAACACTTAAAATGAACTCGGAACCAAAAAAAATCTCACGGACTCAGAAAAGACACAGTAGGATGGACCCATGGCTGCGGACAAACGCGAAAATGATGACGACACTGTGTCAGAGAAAGCATCGGGATCAGTTTGGGCGGGTGTTTGTGTGTGGGTGTGTCTGTTTGCTTGCGCGGGCGCATATGTAGCTAATATGGGTTGTGCTAAGTGAAATACATGCAGCGACAGTCTTGACACCTTTTTGACCTGATTCCGCAATGTCGTGGGGTGCACTGGCTGTCGTTCTGCGTGGCAGGCGCACCACTTTGAGGGCGTGACTGCTCTATCCTGCACACCTGCCATGCAACGCACATGCAACACACATGCAACACACATGCAACACACATGCAACACGACATGCAACATGAGCTTTTGACCTGTAAATTTACAGTCAACGTGCAGGATTTGACGTTTGCAGCCCCAACTCCGGTCTTATAATGGAAAGTGTAGATTTTTGCCCCCGCGGCCACTTTGCTTGGAAATTTACAGGGAAAATGCTCGTGTTGCATGTGTGTTGCATGTGTGTTGCATGAGTGTTGCATGTGTGTTGCATGTGTGTTGCACGTGCGTTGCATTGGCAGCCGTGAAGTGGGGAAGTAGAAAACAGCGTGGCAGGCGCAAGAGTTGTAGGTGGCAGGGGCGAGACTTTGGAAGTTGAGCGCCTTGGATATTACATTGTCGTGGTGGCCCGTAGCATCCACCTTTGTGGGGTTGTCGCATATTATACAGAATAAGTTTTGACAACCATCTTGGGTAAATTTCACAAGCTGATGGTTAGCCCTTAGCATCCACCTTTTTTGGGCTGTCACAGATTACAGAAGTGCATGCTTTGACAACGCGTAAATTTCAGAAGCTGATGTTGTCGCATCGATGTGTGTGGATGTGTGCTGATCTACATCCACATGCATATTAACAACACTTAAAATGAACTCGGAACCAAAAAAACTCACGGACTCAGAAAAGACACAATAGGATGGACCCATGGCTGCGGACAAACGCGAAGATGATGACGACACTGTGTCAGAGAAAGTATCGGGATCAGTTTGGGCGGGTGTTTGTGTGTGGGTGTGTCTGTTTGCTTGCGCGGGCGCATATGTGCTAATATGGGTTGTGCTAAGTGAAATACATGCGGCGACAGTCTTCACACCTTCACACCTTTTTGACCTGATTCCGCAATGTCGTGTGTGGTTGCACTGGCTGCGTTCTGCGGTGGCAGCGCACCACTTTGAGGGAGAGTGACTGCTCTATCCTGCACACCTGCCATGCAACGCACATGCAACACACATGCAACACACATGCAACACACATGCAACACACATGCAACACGACATGCAACATGAGCTTTTGACCTGTAAATTTACAGTCAACGTGCAGGATTTGACGTTTGCAGCCCCAACTCCGGTCTTAGAATGGAAAGTGTAGATGTTTGCCCCCGCGGCCACTTTGCTTGGAAATTTACAGGGAAAATGCTCGTGTTGCATGTGTGTTGCATGTGTGTTGCATGAGTGTTGCATGTGTGTTGCATGTGTGTTGCACGTGCGTTGCATTAGCAGCCGTGAAGTGGGGAAGTAGAAAACAGCGTGGCAGGCGCAAGAGTTGTAGGTGGCAGGGGCGAGACTTTGGAAGCTGAGCGCCTTGGATATTACATTGTCGTGGTGGCCCGTAGCATCCACCTTTGTGGGGTTGTCGCATATTATACAGAATAAGTTTTGACAACCATCTTGGGTAAATTTCACAAGCTGATGGTTAGCCCTTAGCATCCACCTTTTTTGGGCTGTCACAGATTACAGAAGTGCATGCTTTGACAACGCGTAAATTTCAGAAGCTGATGTTGTCGCATCGATGTGTGTGGATGTGTGCTGATCTACATCCACATGCATATTAACAACACTTAAAATGAACTCGGAACCAAAAAAAACTCACCGGGTTCTTCCAAAAAAACAACCATCCACAGGAAACCACAGAGATACCCTGCTTACCCCCGCAACCCCCAACTTCAATGTTGTGATCGGAAGTGCCGAGCATCATCAGCAGAAATGGCTGTTTTTTTTGAAGGCCGCCAAACACAAAATTCAGAAGACAACATTGAATTGGGGGACGGGGGGTGGCATGACCTCTCTGGTGTGGTACTTCATGGGATGGCTGTTTTTTTTGAAGAACCCGGATGAACCCGGTAACTCCGGGAATACTCAAATCCTCACAACCAATAGAGGACGACCCTAATTTGTGCATGGCATTAAATTTAATATATTTTTTTTCCGCTACTCATATGAATGTTGATTCGGCAGGCCTTGGCAGCAGATGATGCTCAGCACTACTTACAGGGCATTTTCCATCATTTGCTGAAAGACAGCGCAGTGGTCGTGGTCCCAGAGACGTCGATTTGATGGACAGCCAACATCTCTGCGCAACGGAGATGGAAGAATTGGCCCTGGGTTCCGATATTCCCATATCATTTGGTCCATTGGACGCCAAGGCGTGGACTCGCGGAGTCTTGGAACATGTTGAAACCTAGTCGGGGGTTCATGTGGAGTTAGCATAACTATCTTATTTCCATACCTGACCGTACGACTGGGATGATGATTCCAAATGACTAATCGGTAGCTAGCTCGAGTTTACTCTTGCTTCAGCAAGGGAGGGGCAGCTCTGACTCCAACACAGTGATTTTTCACGTGAAACCACCTTGCCCCTTCCCCCCCAAGCTCCCTGTGCATTTCTGAACCGTTTTAGAACCAGATGGTTATAGGCTTAAATCCCCCCAGGTCTTCAAGGGATATTTGTTCGGGCGCACAGATCATTCAAAGACAAGGCGCTTTGCTTAATATCGACAGAAAATTATGTTTTTTTTCTCCATTTTGGTTGATATAGAAATCAGTCCTGTACTGAACATATCAAGATCCCATGACGTTTCTAGACTCGTGCGAACCTTAGCTTTCGTGCACCCTGGGCCTCTTGAAACGGCCAGGTCACGAGCTTGATGAGCAAAAGGCAAGCAAACTGTTGAACACAGTGCGGCTGCTTCTCCCAGTGGCATCCAAAGTATCTCATGATCCTGAAGATGAGTACCTTACAGAGATCTTGTTTCGGACGTTTCGGATTGCGAATTTACGTAAATCAGATGAATAATATCCTTTTACATCATTTTACATGATCAAGGTCCCTAGGTCCCCCCAGGGCCCAGGTCCGGTCTTGTAATGCCTCAGGAGGACGCCTGCTACTTCGAAGAGCATGGCTGCTACCCTCCAGATTTCTGCCAATCAAGTGCCAAAGCTTGTTGCGTCAATCTTTGGCCAGAAGTCCCAAGGATCTTTCCTCTGTGACCGGGCGGCTTTCCATGTCTTCATGATGGCATCTGGTGCTGATGCCCGTCCTTTCACAAAGATGAATTACGATGACTTCTGCCCACTCAGTTACCTTGACATGAAGTTCCGCAAGAAGATCAAAAAGTAGCTCATGAGTCTCATGAGAGATGAATTTTGAGTTTCGCAATGCGAGCATTGCCAAGGCCTGGAGGCTAGCATCGGTGCTGATGTTTGGGGCGTCGCTGCAAAATCGAAACTAGGACCGATGTGCTGGATCTTTCAAGGTTTTGGATCCACCGTGAATCCACAATTCAGCTTTTGGAAGTCAAAGCAGCCCGTATCGACCCATTGTATGCTGCTATGCATTTCGTGTTTGCATGCTCAAGGATTTCATGGTTCCAAAGTGACCCTTCAGCTTCCCAGAACTAAGAACTCCTCGCATCACACTCCTAAGGACATCATGGTTTATGTTCAGCCCCCCCTCTTACTCTCCAAGTGAGTCAAGTGATCCCTTGGAGAAGTCCTTGTTGCAATTCTTCAGCCTACAGTCCAGATTGCTTGTGCACTGTGGAAACTTCAACCTAAACCATGAGTCGATGCCATGGGCCAGACATGCCATAGCCTCATGTCGACTCATGTCGACTCACTTCCTGAAGAATCCTTCAAACACTTGCGTCATGCTGAGAGATGTCGATTTATTTTCAAACGTCGGATCGGCTGAGGCAGGCTTTGGGCAGGACTTGTTGCGACGTATTTTGAATCACAAAGAAAGGCAGGGCCAGCCGCATCCTCAGCCTCTGCGGGGTCTCTTCAGATATTTTTCCTTCTGATTTGGCAAAATGTGTAAGCACCGAGTAGGAATCCAAATTCAAGTGCTTGGTTCTGATGGTGGAAGCAGATATGTCAAATATATATATATATATATACTGTATATACAATATAATATATATATATATATATAATATACCTAGCTGATCAGATATGTGTACAGTGTAGACTATGTCACATGTAGCATATATGTTTGTATATGTGCTGCAGCCATTTTAGTGCTTTCAGCTACCTTCGAGCTGACTGAGTAAAAGGTGCTGATCAGTGCTCAGGAGTGTTCATCAGATTTAAGAGCCCAAATTCTCTGTTCATGGTAGCGGAGCTGAGGTTCTGATACCCGGCTGTGAATGTGTAGGTGTCAACGCCGAGCTGCATCAGCTCTGGCGCGCCTACACAGTGCCAACTGGAAAAGGTTGACACTCAAGCTCCTGAAAATCAGGAAACTCCAAAGGTACTTCCATAACCTGGGAGTGCATCTCCAACAGTATCCAAGGGTTCTCTTGAACCAGGTCTCTAAGCACCTGAAGAACGACTAAGGATGGCTCAGCAACAGCAGCCACCTCAGCAACCAGGCACTCCACCGGCACCACCACAAGCACAAGGCAACGGTCCCAACATGTCCCAGATGATCATGCAGATGATGGCCCAATTGACTCAGGGTCAGGCGCAGTTGAATCAGGCAATGACCGAGGCTATGAACCAGCAGCTACAGATCAACAGAAATGTTGAGAGGTCTGTTGAGTACAAAGACAGATCAGAGTTGAAAGGCATACCCAAACCTGATAAGTTCACTGGAGCATCAGGCACTTGGGATAGTTGGTGGTACAAGTTTAAGACAT